GGGTAATGGAGACAGAGCAGAGACTCTATCAGTGCCATCGAAATGGCCTGATATCTTCTCCAAATGAAAAGTATTTTTGGATCTCTGATGATTTCTCTCTCCCCCCTCCCCGACCTATTGCAAAACCCATACCTGTCTTTGTGAAATATAGTGATTTCTCTTGAAAATACTTTTGCAGTGATCAGCTTTATACACTTCTAAATATAATGCTTCTTTTTTGTGATACTGTCCTTTGAAAAAATAAATAATAGTGCTTATAAGACTCAAGTAATGCAAAGGCAAAGATCTTTCACTGCACATGTGGCCCTGAAATTAACACTTTACTGGGAAGAGCATGAGACTGCTGTCTGCCAAATGTACACAGTCCCAAGAAGGTGGCATGAAAATTCAGTTTATGTTTTTAAACAAAGCTTTCCAAATGGTAATTAAACAAAGTCTTTATCTTCTCTAGACTAATTTACAGGCATGCTACAAGGAAACAAATCACCTTTTTGCCTCCTGGTAATATTTCATTTGCTTCATAATGTTTTAAATGTGGTGAATAACATCCTTCCTAATTAGCCTGCATTTCCCTATAAGGTGCAGTAATTACGTATGATACCAGGTAATGATGTTGGACAGAACAAATTAGGGACAGAAACCATGTCCTTTATGCATATGGGCTGTTCATGGTGCTAGCTATTTACTTCCTTAATCTACCCTGTAAAGCCACATTATTTAAAGAAAGAAACTAATCTGAAAATCCGAAACCAGAAGATTCTCTTTTCTTCAGAAGAACACTACATAAGACACATGTACCATGGAGGTGTGCACTTTGTGATACATCATTACTGTTGATAACACCGGAAATACTCCAGCTGAATTTGTGGATGGGACCTGTTTCTCAGCTGCTGTCACCTGGCTAGATTTTCGAGTGGACCTGCACTCACTCAGACCAGGGCAGGGTCTATCCTGTGCTATTTCACAGTGACACTTATAATGCAGGAGTCAGGTTGTGATGTTGTTTCTCTGAATAAAACAGGCAAGGTGGAGCTGATATTTTTCTTTATTTCTGTGTTTTTAACAGGTATGTCTGTATTTTGCATATGTTTTGCCTTTTTTTAATACTAAGCTCTAGGGCTTTTAAACATGCTCTAGTGTTTCGTGAAGATAGGGTCTAGGGTCACTTGCTCTCCTTGTTTTGGCCTATAGTCTCTGAAATGTATAAGAAAAACACTGTTTTAAATCAAGTGAGTTACAGGGTGAGTATTACTAAACGTCTGATTTAGGCGTATTTAGCAATTTCAAATATTCTCCTGTTTCAGAAAACATGTCATGGACAAGTACTTAATGTAAGAGTATGCTGAAAAAAAGAGATCAGAGTTTATCAAATTCTTTAAAATGGTCTTGCCATTTGATTAGGTCCTCAGAAAATACTTGCTCTTAATTGACATAGTATTTCTGGATGATACCCACACCATTTAGGCAGCCTTTTGTCAGCAAGACTGTGCATGGCACCTCTTCTCAGAGGTGCACCTGTTCTGTGTCACTGGGACTCTGCCCCATGCAGAGGTTGTACCTGACACAGTAAGTCCTCCAGCTGCACATGCAGAGATGTGTGCACCAAAGAGGAGCTGAGCCGGTGTCCAGAGCGGGGCTGTGTGCCTTGGAGGGACTGGGATCAGGCTGGTGGGAGACAGCAGAGCAGATCCAGCATTTGCTAGGGCCTAGTGCTGGCAGACCGGGAGGCAGGGACTCTCCCCAGCGCATCAGGGCAGGTCTGGGGGCAGGGGCTGACTGATACTCCCAGGCAGGACGGCACTTCTGGCCTTGTGCTGGGAAGGAAGAGCACTGCATCCCAGGTAGTTCAGAAAGTTGTGGTCTGGCAAAACCCTCTTGTCCCGTCTGTGTGATCTGCTGGAGATGAGGGATGAAACCCTTGTCTGAGAAGAATGTCCTCTTTTGCATTAAGGAGGGTATTTTATCTGTGCCCTTCATTAGCATTTCTAGAAAGATGCCACTGGACTGGGAACTAATTGTTTTGCAGAGTAGGTAGGTACACATGTAGTGCTGCTGTCAACAAAATGTAACCCTCCTAGGTGGATGCATTGATTATATGAAAAATGTTTTTACCACTCCCTGGAGCCTATTTATAAAACAAACTGTTTCAAACCTGCCAACAGTATTTTAATTATCGAAGATATCGTAGTGTATTTAAACAAAGCATAATGCTAATGGTAATTATCTCACATTTATATAATGTCTAACAGCCAAATACATCCCAAAGACCTTTACGAACTTTTGGATGTCATGAACAGTGTATAAAACGTCTTGAGCAGCAAAATCCATCACTTCCCTGCAATTAGCTCGAGTTTGGGAAACACTGTGAAAGAACAAGCTATTCCTTCGTTCACACAATGCGGAAAGGGGCGGGTAACGAGGGCCAGTGATGTTTGGGTGGTCCCCAGACTCCTCTCACACAGGTACTGGATCCTCTGGGCAGTGACAGCCATACCGTGATCGGAGACTGCCCCATTCCTTCCAGCTCCCTCCCTGGCAGCAGCTCTGCATGTGGTGTTCCTCTTTGTGCAGCCCAGCAGTGGAGGGAAGTGCGTCTCAGAAGCTGATCCTATCTCAGGTGCTCAGGATGGCAAGTGGCAGCCACAGCAAACTGAGCTGTGTGGATGGCTAGAGAGACAGCCCTCTATGGCTGGCTGTGCAGGGAGTGCTTCCAGCACTGTACCAAATGCTGGCCTTGAGACCAAGTCCCTCCAGAGCCCCACCAACCATCTCAGTGTGATTTTATCTCTCACTGTATTGCCCAGAACTGTGCAGCAAGGCGTTTTATCCATGGCCTCCCTCCCGGGTTTCTCTGGTACAATGTTTGTCTGGATTTCCCTTGCAGAGGGATCTCTTCTTCTCTTCCTTGTATTTCTTGGGATGTTTGGTGGCAGGCTTACAGGGTGGTCCCTTGCCTTGCCTCCCCTTGGAAGGAAGGGAGTGAGGGATGGATGTGGCCAAGCTGGCGCAACGAGTACTTCATTGTGTCTCCATACGGGCCTGTCCCGAGTCCCTCTGGATATCGTGCTTCTGGATCTGGGGCAGGAGCCAAGCTCCCAGGACAACTCTGCTGAACACCCAGCCCCAGGGCCTGTCTCTGGCCAAGGCTGCTGTACCATGCTTTGATTACATCTGGCTTCTATTCTCCAAGACTTTCACCCCCAGAAATCCGGAGCTGTGCTCTGTAATGAACATGCTGCTGCTGAAACGCTGGTTGGCTGCTCTGATTTAAATATGATGGGGTTCTTATTATACACCTGATGCCTGGGTGTATAAACAACGCACTGTATAAACACTGTGCTGGCATTGCCAAGAACATTTTCCAGGTCATGCCACATCTTGGATCATTTCACTCCTTTTCATCACCCCCTCTAGACCGAAACTGCATAAAGCTTTAACTTTGATGCCAAATTGTGAATAACCTTAGTTTAACCTGAAATTTAAAGCCAGTGTTTCCATGCTCCAGAGGCAGGGTCTCCCTGGCCCTTTGCTACCATGCAGCTAGCAACCAGAATTTTAATTTTATAGGCTATGGTTGACTAGACCCATACCAGCTCTATTAGACATTGTTTGATTTAGAGTAGTAAAAAAAAAAGTATATATATATATATGCTTTTATATATATATATTTAAAGATACAGTGCTTTCCTATATCCCTTTGTATTTTTTCACAGCTCTTTACATATGCTTAGACTTCGTATTCAGAGGACAGGTTCAGAGGTTTTTTTCCCTGTGTGGAAGAAACTGATCCTTTCACTTCATAAAAACCAACACTGTCTAGTTTTGATTTTAGTTGCATGACTTTGTGTAAACAGGTAAAACCAAAGCTGTTGTTACCTAAATTGCTGAACTACAATTTAGGAGGAAGTTTCCAGTATTAATTGCTGACATCAAATGCCTGTTCACTGTAAACAGTTTGTTACAGAGAGTGAGCTAGGTTGAAAAAATACTTCATGTGTTGTTCCCCAGTTTGAGAGCTCTGCCTGAAAGCAGCCTGGTTTTCTGGATACACAGTTTTCTGCAAAATCCAGCTGTGCTGAAGGGTGATCTCAAATCAATAGTCCTTTCTGAAAAGTCTTGTCCACTGGGCACCACCTGGGTTACGCACACGTCTGCAGCCAAAACTGGTGTCTACAGCAGCAGGGTGTCTTTGCACAGATTTCCTCATACTTGCTGTCAAAAAACTTGATGCAAAATCTACCAGAAAAGTCCTGAGTGATGTTATTCCTCTGCAGGCTTCTTGGACAGTAAGCAACTGCAACACTCACGAAAATCTTGTTGCCCAGGGTGCATTTGAATTCTGCTCCTCAGAACTATCTTGGCAGCAAGATTCTATTTTTAAAATGTTTCCTCCCTCTGTCTAGTGTGGTCTTGCCATCTGGAGAAGAAATCTGGTATTTACTTGTTGTTCTTGGAGTTCCACCTCCTGGAATCCTGGGAATACTGCAGACCTCTGCTTTCAGTGCATAAAAGATACATTTCTAGCACTGACAGGTGAAGGAAGACTAGAAAACCACTGTGAATCTGCAAAAAGCAAATTGAAACAAGCCCCTGTATTGCAGGAGTCTTTGAACTGCCAATCTAAACATTTTCCAAACTTGTCTCATGGCTTTTCAGCCATGGGCAGTCACTTATGACTTCTGCTAAAAATCTCTGCCAGAGGGGAGAGAGACATAAACATGCTGTGGAGCCCAGGCTTTCATCATACTGATAAGTTTAAGGAATACAAAGTGAAACTGCAGTGCCAAGAGAGTGCATCGCATCAGGCCTTGTTGAGGGTGTCATGGTGGTAACTCAGCCCTGGGACATCCTCTCTCAGTACGGTGGGAGATGGTGCTGGATGGAGAGTCGCTGGTTCCTGACAAGGGGCACATCATAGCTCAGTGCTCGGCACAGGATGGAGCTGAGCAAGACTTGCTGGTACGCAGGAAGGGGTGAAGAGTTTTGTGTGACTGGGCAAAATGGATCTGCTGGAGCTGACCCAAGTTGACTGTGACTGCAGCACAGGTGGTGTGCTTGATTCTTCTGTGTCCTCTGGTATCCAGACCACAAACCAAACATGTTCTCAGGTGGTGCAGCAAAAGTCATGCAAGCAAGGATGTCACCATTATCCTGCTTTTGTCCTTCCTTTAAATCATGTGTGAAATGGTTAATGGTAAATTGTGTTGAGGGTTGGCTGTAATGCAGGACTGGTTAATGTGTCTTGCTTGTAACCTTCTTTCAAAAGAGTCTTCATGGTATCACCATGCTGGTACCCACATCTATTCAAGGGATAAAATTAAACATTTATATGTAGGTCTCACCGTTGTGATGACTACTTACTCTCCTTCTCTCTCGTCTTTGAAAGGTATTCAGGAATCTCCAGTACCAAATGGCCATTCTCTCCCAGGCAGAGATTTTCTTCGGAAACAGATGCGAGGAGACCTTTTCACCCAGCAGCAGCTAGAAGTCTTGGATCGAGTCTTCGAGAGGCAACATTATTCTGACATTTTCACAACAACTGAGCCCATCAAACCAGAGCAGGTACTACTACAAATGTTCAGCATTTTCCAGATACACTTTTTACTGACAGAGGTCTATTTGGTGGACATCACCAAATGCGTCTCAGGAGTGTCAGTAGAAGAACATGGATAAACGTGTTGTGTCAAGCTCTTCTCAGCTAAGCTTCTCTCAGCTGAGTGCACATTAGACATAAATACTGAGTTTTAAAAAATGAAGAAAAACACTTGTGTAAACATTAGCAAGTGTTTAGATACGAAATTACATCTGGCCTGGACCAGTTACATTAAGTGAGTCTTTAAAGAATGTCACATCTTCTGATGCTTTTGTTAAATCAAAAGCAGGCTCTGCAGGTAACAAGGAGAAGACGTGCAAAACCCAGTGGCTAATTTTGGTTCATAGTTAACATGATTGTGCACACAAATTAGATTTTTGTATCCAGAAATGGCTTATTATGCATGTAATTGGCCATTTGCTGAGAGAAATACCCAATTAGTATGTGAAGGTAAATTAGTTGCACCTACAGATTAGCAGTGTGTTTGAGAAGGACTTGGCACTAATTTTTTGGGAAAGTTCTATTTTTGCAGGCGCAATACAGAAGCGCATGCAAAACCTGATGAGCTATGTCTCTCTGTGTTCTTGGGCAGCGGCCTTTAATTTAGAGGTAGAAATGAATATATTGCTGTCAGCTCCAGTATAGGTGTAGCTGGCTACTTAATGAGGTATCTAGTCATTAATTTTCAGTGTTAATATTAGACCTACTTTTTAGCAAGGTGGATGGACTTCCTGAACTGCAAACACTGATTTCCCTTGGAGGAACCTGTACATTTGAGGGTCATTGGAGATTATCTCATGACAGCCAGCTACCATCATGGCTTCAGTTAAGGAATAGGTATCGGTATCAATTTATTAAAAAATAATTACTTATGCTGAAAATCATATGGTAGAATAGAAATTCCTCATGCCTTTAAGCTCACATCTGTCATTTGTTATTTCATTCATAGCGCCATTTGCTTTTCACCAGCTTCTGCTGGTTTTGTGGTTTCCCTTGTTTATATTTGCTAAGAAACTGCATAAAAGATACATTTCTAGCACTGACAGGTGAAGGAAGACTAGAAAACCACTGTGAATCTGCAAAAAGCAAATTGAAACAAGCCCCTGTATTGCAGGAGTCTTTGAACTGCCAATCTAAACATTTTCCAAACTTGTCTCATGGCTTTTCAGCCATGGGCAGTCACTTATGACTTCTGCTAAAAATCTCTGCCAGAGGGGAGAGAGACATAAACATGCTGCAGAACTGAACTCAAGATGGAAAAAGATAGGGGAGTTGCTGAGGTCAATTTGGGTTTTTTTGGTGAGGAGAGACACTCAGCGCCTCTGGAAGGTGAAATGGCCTCCGTGTACCACTAGATGGTGGTTATCCCATCCGAACGCGACTGATACTGGAGAGGACTGGCGCTGCACCCACTCTTGCAGCGAGCCTTTTAGTGCTGATCACTTGGAAGTTGTGTGGTGTTAGATTTGTCCCCGTGGAACTTTTACATGCAACAAAATTCCTTACGAAGAGAGCAGTGATAGAAGAGGATTGTTTATTCGTTTCTCTGAAGTCTCTGAGTCATGCAGGACTGTAGCTCAGTCCATCAGTGAGTGAACTCTTATGCAGACAAACTTTTAATGGTTTAATAGGAAGAATGGGAGAACTAAATGATGGTGTTGCTGAAATATTATCTCGATTGTCAAATCTGGCATATTCAGCTGTTGGTGGAGCAGGGAGCTCCCTGGATTCATGTAAGAAGCTGTGACTAGAATGGCTGTGCAGTCAGATTTTTAAGATTGGAGATACACAGCTATTAGTTTGATTAACAGAGTACTCTCTGTATGGCCTGGGAAGTCAGATGCTGAGAAATATGATACTATCATCTACGAAAGGTGTTGAGCAGAACTGCCTTGCGTGGTTAAGGGCTCGTGGCTGTTTGGGGTTGGCTTCTGCCTTTTGGTGGCGTGTAAAGCTTTCGACAAGAACGTATGTGTTCTGTGTGAACCACCTCTCTTCACAATGGTGTGGTATGAACTCCACCTGTTACCTGAAGCAGTCGTGTTTTACCTTTTTGGTGAGCCAAGCAAAGCTGTCAGAATACTTAACCACAGTGGAAAAGCTGTCTGGATCAATTAGTAAGGCCAAAGAAATCAGTGAGAAAGAAAACACTGAGAACATTAATGGTGTGATTTGGAAAACCAGTTTTGTCCCTGCAATAGATTGTTGTAGTAAACCAAGACTTCCAGAGTGCTGCTGAAACCAGAAGTGGTGCTTTAGGAGCTAAGTCAGCAGTGGAAGTATGGAGTGCTGAGCTAGTTCTATAGAGGAAAATAAGAAAAAGATGATCCTCCCCATAAAGAGGTGTGACAAGAAGTCTAGTAGGAGCTGCTGACCTACTGCTTATCTGCTTTCTTAGAAATTTGGTCCAGTAGCAGCCAGCTGAATTACCATTAATTTTACTTGGGCACAAAAACTTGATGTCCATGTGCTGTTCACCTGAGGAGGACTTCAGGTATTTTATTGGAAGAATTGCCATTCTCTAGACAAGGAAGTTCCTTTTTCTCCCTGTTTGGTGTCTCTTTTCTAAGTGTTCCTCCTCGCTTGTGTGCTGGGAACAGTCTCTTGGCAATGGTGAGTTTTGGCATGGGGGGACAGGTCCCTCCTACCTAGCAAAGCATTTGCAGCCTCAGCACACTTGGCCCCTGGCTGAAGGCTGACCCCAAAGTCCTCCTGATGCCTTTTCTGGGAAAAATTTGGGGTTGGAAAGTGTGCTGTTGGAAAGTCTACATTGACTCTCATATAGGTAGACAAGTTTGATGGGTTGTGTGGGACTGCAAAACCTTTTACTTTAAGTGCTTCCAGTCTACTTCCTTTACTTTTCCATTTTTAATGTCTCCCTCAGTTCACCTGTATGAACTGGAGACTCATGAGTTCTTTCTCACCTCAAAATGTGCTGTGCTGTAGGCAAGCATCGTCTGAGTTTTCACATCTGCTGTAAGCTGTGCCTTCTACAGAGGGACCCACAGGGAATCAATACTTGTCTTCAGGGAAGGGCTTACACAACAATGGGGGAGAAGGCAACCACTCAGCAGTGACAGAAAATTAAATATCAGGCAGTCCTTTGTTCAGAAACAGTGCCCATCGCATGCGCTGGATGAGGCAGGTGTCCCACCATGGGTTCATGTAGTTAACTATCTGGAGAAGAGAAGGCTCCAGGGAGGCCTTAAAGCAGCTTCCAGTTCCTAAAGGGGCTATAAGAAACCTGGAGAGGAGCTTTTGACAAGGGTCTGTAGGGACAGGACAAGAGGGAATGGCTTTAACCTGACAGAGGGGAGATTGAGATGAGCTCTTAGGCAGAAGTTCTTCCCTGTGAGGGTGGTGAGGCCCTGGCACAGGTTGCCCAGAGAAGCTGTGGCTACCCCATCCCTGGCAGTGCTCAAGGCCAGGTTGAACAGGGCTTGGAGCAACCTGGTCTAGTGGAAGGCGTCTCTGCCCATGGCAAGGGGTTGGGACTGAATAAACTTTAAGGTCTCTTCCAATCCAAATCAGTCTGCGATTCTATGATTCTATGACTGTGTGTGTTGGGGGCCAGAAGTGAGGCATCTCCTATTATGTGCCTCATTTTGTAATGTAGATCCCATCAGTGCAGCTGTGCATGCATGGGTGTGTTCTCTGCAGCATGGATGTACCATACCTGTGCTTGTGGGGCATGAGAAACCTTGGATGGCAGGTGAAGTCCTGCAGCTGGGAGCAGGGGAGCCTGAGGAGCCCAAATGGAGTGAAGCTCTCATGTGTCTGTATGTTCTGGGCAAGTAACCAAAGCATAAAATCAGTACTCTAGAAGCACCCTGGTCTGCTTTTCCCTGACAGAACTCTGCTATAAACATGAATTCTTGCATAAAAGGAATGCCTTTCCCTCACATTTGTGCACTTTTGTGCTCATTTTTTTGCGAACAGCCCATGATTGATTTGCACTGGCTGCAAATGTTCATGGAAAACTGATTTCACAGATTTGAAGGCATGGATTTGGAAATGCATATAGCAGTGTGTTTACAACACCGTTGTTGTACCACTGTTCTGTTCATGGCTCGTGGCCACCAGCATTGTGCAGCTCTTTTCATCAGCTACGACAAAGTCCATGCCTTCAAGGTCACATAATCCTTATGTCTTGAAGAAGGAAAGCCTTCACAGCATCTGCCTCCTGGGCTGGCAGTGGTTTCCGTTCTCCTCTCCATGCCTCTTGGGTTATGTGTAGATGGACCCTGCTGCTCCCTGGTGTGTTGGCTCCAGTGCAGTTCCCCTGCCCACACGAAGGGCTGTTAGAGCTAGCACAAATGTGCTACAGATAGATAGAGCATTCCACATCCAGGCTTCCCTCAGAGCAAAGCTGTACTGACAGAAGGAGCCAGCCCTGGCATTGTGCTGTACGGCTATGTCCACAGCAGACAAGGTACTCCAGCCTGGCCCTTGTCATAGGCAAAACCCCACTGTTCATGATCACTGCACCAACAATTCAGATTTTATCTAGAACTGGCACTCATCCTATGCCCTTCCTATGCACAGAGTTGCTACACTGAGTGGGCTGATTTTCCAGTGCGTAGTCCATTAAGAGAATCCAGCTGGAGGAACTGGACATGTTGGCTGTACCCAGCAAACCAAGGGTTTGCATGGCTGAGGCTGATCGTCCTTTGGTGGCTTCCTGCAATCCAGCCAGAAGGATGGAGGATGGAGCTCCCCGGGAAGCTGTCCTGGGCAGGCCCAGCCGGTAGCATTGGCCATGTGAACTGTGGACTCAAATGCATTCACCAGCAGAAGCACGGACAGGAGATGTTCCTGAAGATTGAGACCCAGGAAACAGCTGTGACCTGGGGGACTTCAGGCCTGGAAGGGTGGATAGGTGCAGGAAGGCCCTGTCAAAGTGGGCTGGGGTGAAGCCTGGAGCTTCCAGACCAACGTGCTTTTTGTGGCTGTAAGAGAGGGGGATTAG